TATATATATATATATATATATATATATATATATATATATATATATATATATATATATATATATATATATATATATATATATATATATATATATATATATTTGTTCCTCAATCAATTATCTTCTTTGTTTTTTTTTTTCCTTTCTTCTCTATGACCTTTTTTTTGGTCTATGTCTAGAGATCCATAGCCATGAAAACACTGACTGAGTTGTCATCATCTGGAGTAATTCAAAGTCTCAATTGGATATCAGTAACTAAACAAGTATTTCATAGGAAACCAATCAGCAAATAAGCTAGGAAAAATTTTTGATCTAACATATATTTACTTATTATCCACTCTTTTCTTCTGCACAGCAAACAAAAGGGTTCCTTATTCTTTAGTGCAAATTTTTTTATGGACTCACAATATCCGCCACTGTGGGATTTCGGAAGCATATCATATGTTTTGTGACTCGAATCTTGATCTCGATTGTATCGAGAATATGTATTCTACAATTTCTCGATTTTATGTTTGATTCCTTTTTCATTGTTGTTCTAAATGCAACGTAATTATTAGTTCATCAAAAAACACCCTTCACTGATCCGTCTACTTGGAATCACACACTTCTCACGATGAAAGAAATGAAGTGCCTTAACTGAGAAAGTTCAGCAGTATCAGCAACAACACCACCATGCAACTCATTACATCTTCCTTTGCTGCTCTCCTGATAGATGTACAGAACTGCCAGCAGCCATGCCAACCTCCACGGCTTAGTGTCCGATGTAACCATGGGGAAGCGAAGGAGAGGAAAGCGCCACGGTCTCACCTGCTCGAACCATTGTGAAGACACGCACCACATCTCTGGATTCGATCCCGAGTACATGTTCCGAATGTGAGTGCTAAGTTCTCGTTCACAGTTCAGTATACATACTGTCCGGTCTTCAAGCTCCTCACACTTGGCTACGACTTCCACAGGCCAACGTTCGAAGAGATGCTAAGCCAGTGGGTCTCCGAGAGCAGAAACAGCCACCATAGTGGTGGATTGGTAGGAGGAGACGTATCGAGCCAAGATGACGAGGTTAACATCGACATAACTCACATGCAGTTTAAGTTCTGAATGCTATCGGATTAACTTGGCCGCTAAGATGTTGCAGATGGACTGCGAGCTGACTCTATCATCCTTCTACCTCCATGATCAGAAGCCGACAGTGAGAGAAGAGAATAGTGACTTGGGTTCGAGTATAGACTTCGATGCAACTGCTGCGGTTGCAGTTCCAAGTAGCACAAATGGCGATGGCTCCACCGACAACCTCAACTTGGAGCTGACCATCTCATCACCTGGTTCTGGCCAACTCATTTCGTAGTTGGATAAGGATCGAAGCAATGAAGACATAGCTGAGTAGAGGTGATAGATCGATTGGGTGCACTGATGTCACAGCTTGTGCAGAGGAGCAAAGAGTAGTCATTAGCATACGAGGCTTGTTGAGTTTTGCACGGATCTTCATCTCATCGTTGAGTTTCTTGAAACCAAGTCAGCGACGTGTGCGAGAGAGAGAGAGAGAGAGAGAGAGAGAGAGAGAGGTCGGAATTGTGGTCTTTGTACAGTTTCGAGAAACTTCTAAGATGCGGACACGAGAAAGAACTTACGTACTCGTGTGTTTATATATACATATATATATTTCTTTGTTGTCACTACTGTTGTATGCAAGCATCCAATCATCGCTGCTTTTAGATTCGTGAAATTTAAGGATCTCAAAGCAACCTGTTCACGGGTATCAGATGCAATGTTACATCTGTAACCATCCAATGCTAACTTGGAAGTATCATAAATAGGCTGATCACAAACACATATCCAGAAATATTGGCTTGTAAGGAAAAGGAATTGTCACTGCAATGAGTCATACCCTAATTTATCAACGACACATCCTTCAACGCAACATCTTTCTTACACTACATATACTTGCACAGTTAACAGGAAAATAATTCTCCCTTGAATGATAATCTGAATTCTTCTGTACAACAACATAATGTCCGGAACAGTTTGTCTTGTTGCAACAAATAAGAGCATGTCAATGATGGTTATTTACATGCCACCTGCAAGTCCAAAAAAGTGATGGCTCGGAGATCCCTCGTAGATGGTGTCCGTCTCTAAGATCGTTGAGTTGCACGACCCCTAAAGTCAAAATGTATTATAAAAAACTTTTGTATCAAACCATATCTTAAGCTCGAAAGGATATCATATAAATTGATGCACCAACTAGTTACCGAAAGTTCAAAATCTTTATCAACAATGTATTATAAAAAGCTTTTGGTGTCAAACCGTATCTTAAGCTCGAAAAGGTATCATATAAATTGATGCACCAACTAGTTACCGAAAGTTCAAAATCTTTATCAATAAGTTGGGAATAGAGATTGGAGGTACAAACAAAAATCCTTTGCACAAAATAGATTCAGAAAGTGCAAAATTCAACCAGGAGTTATCTAAGAAGCAGAGTACCTGACTCCACACACCAAATAAAAATCTATGGTAGTGTACGATTTAGCAAGCTCTGAAAGGAGATATAGAGATCCTTATGCTCTGTACCAAAAATCTCTTCTGCCTTAGCCAAAGTTTCCTTCATCGAATACAAGACAAGAGAGTGAGTATCTTGTGATCTACTGCTGAAAAAAGGGAGAAGCGTATACATAAGATCAGCTAATATAAGGAAAAAACCAATGCTGCAATACATACCTTGCGTGATTGTCTTTGAGCATTGAACTCCTTAACAATGGTCAAAAATGCTGCAAACTGCTCATATGAGAGACGGCTCCTACAATGAATAGGTAACTAGAAGAGTCAACAGGAGTGGCTTACTAGTGTCGAACAAACATCATAGAAGAACTAACCTGGCTTGACGAAAGATTTCCTTCCCAATTATACGAGGAGTATATCCTAAAACATCACAAGTTATAAAGTTGCACCATTGAGTTAATTGTCCTATCGTGACTACAGTGACTACTGACCTGGCATAGATTGCCTGTGAGGAGGAGAGCACGATGCAGATGATTGCTGACTCGAAGCATACCAATGTGACATGGAGCCACGCCCTTCAAGTTGAGGCTTTGATGGTGATGTTGCCTCAGACACAACTCTAGGTGATGATTCTGTAGTTGAGAATCCTCTAGGAGAATCATCAGCCAAAAAGAATTTTGGTGTGCTAGAGGGTGTTGGTCTTGGCGTGATGTACGGTGTGATAGAGAACTGATGCATGACATGCTTTGATCCTGTTAAAAAAAATTTCTTACATTTCATCAGGAACAAACAAGACATTCAAGTTTCAACAGTTGAACACTTATAACATAGTTTATGTCCAGATCGGTACCGTCTTGAGTTGAATCCCCTGTTTCTGCTGGTCCATTAGCCACATCAGATCCAACGTGACTAATCGAATCGTCATCTTTGTTCCCAATTTCATAATGAAAATAAAAACACAATCATATAAAGCTTAGACAGTTAATATCAAACGGGGTAATCAAAATCTTTAAAGAAAAAGTTACCTCTCCAAGAAGAGATTCTAGCAATTGGTTGTTTATACATTTCATTATCAACTGCTTCTGATAGTTGCTAAATGTGAAGGAGAAGAAAAGAATTTAGAAGGGAAGTCAAGGAAAAATTTGTATGTATTGTATATTTTAAACTTACAGATAAATTGTCATCACTCAGTGACTTCACCAGGTGCCTCTTGAATGTCTCCAACTATAAAAAGAATTGCTTTAAGTCAGTATTAGACATTAGCAATTTCCCCTTTAACAAAAATGGAACTTCCAAGCAACAATCAATTCCATATATACAGGATAAACAGGATCAACCAGTGCCATAAATTGTTGAACTCTTCTCATGTTTGTGTGACTCAGAAGCTCAGAGCATTGCAGATGAAATAATAATACTGATGGGCTCAGGACAAGAAAGTATTGACAGGCACATATCTCTTATTTGTTATAAACTTATAGAGGCACTTGTAAAATGAACACTAGAAATTAATATATCAGATGAATTTAGCCATACTCCAATTTGCCACCATGGAAGGTTTTATAAATAAACTCATTTGCGTAGCCACTATATCCTTGTAATAGCAAAAAGATCCCAACTATTATCGCTTGCACTAAGTTGCTAATATCGCATATATTACCAGTAACATATTCATGTCAATTTTTATGGTGCTTTGATTGTTGACATTCAAGTTGTAAAACATAAGGTCTGGACTAAGCTAGCATCTCACCTTGTCGAACAGGGAAATCATGTGCCAAATTAACTAACCGCTTGCAGAGATAAACCTTGGAATGTTAATCAAACAGGTAAAAGCTTAAACCAACACATATAAATTTAGTACACGAACTGCTTAGACCAATGGATAATTGGAAAAAGACAAGTCTACTATATATGATAAATGGGCTACGGTTAAGGGATACTGCAGCCAACTGGCTTCCGCATGTGGAGTTCTCTTCTTTTCATATCATCTCGCAGGCTCCACCAATGTCTGCCAAAAGGAACTAGAGGAAAGAAGAAGAGGATGTCGAAGGAGATGGATGCAGCTATTTTTTTTCGTTTTTCACAAAACAAATCGTCAATTCTTCGCTCTCTTTCTTTGTCTTTTTCTCATTTGTCAGTGCCACATGAATACCACATCATACAATGTACAGAAGTGAAAGAATCCAGTAAAACATAAGCAAAAAGTATATTAGGATTTATAAGTCTGATCCCCCACCAAAAGCTTTTCAAGAAAGAGTCTTACTTTAGCTTCATAGAATTATATAGATGTGAACTTAGCCACGAAGGACTACCACCCTACTGTAAAAGAAACCCCAAATCTTCATTTGACAACCACTGGAATCAGCATGACGAAAATTTAAATAATTATCTACTCTTTGTTAGCAGGTGCAAAGAAATGAAATGATGGATAATTTATACATGCTTTATATGTTTTGAAAGGTATGTTCATGATAGACATTCACTCCAGAGGATATTTACGTTAAAATGAGGAATGTTTTAGAATCAAAGAAGCCTAATTTGTTGTATGAAGCCTGCTACTGCAATCACAGATCTCTGCAACTGGTCTGTAGCCGCAATATAATCTCACATGCACAGGAACAGAAGCCTAAATCCATAACTTGGAGTCTTTTTTATCTTCAAAAAATTGAATCAGAACCCTAATTTCTAACAATTTGAATTCAATACTAACATGTCCAAATAAACATCAGCCGCAGAAAAGAAACATGAAAACTGAAACACCCCTTTTTTGGCCATTTAGTGCCTCTGTTTATGTTAAGCTCCTGATCACGACTTTGATGACATATCTGTAGCATGGTTTGCGTCCTCTGTTACGTAGCGGAATAGTATTCTTCTAAGTCATCAAGAAACTCGAGAGCAATTACCAAATGGATAATTATGATTACATGTGTGATATTAAGCTTAAGCATATCATAAATTTCCATCCGATCCTGCAAGTAATCTTTGAAATAAAATTGAAGACTAAGATGATAGCTAGCATGACTGATAGATTGGGGGGGAAAAAGTCGCACCTTGGACAAGTATCTGGCCAGTTTCTTCGACGTCATATCGAGCGTAACACGTTCCTCACTAAGCGTAGCCTTCAATTGAATGTAACAAAAGAAAGCACCAACTACCAATCAATTCCAGACGACACCGAAAATGAGAACAAAGAGTTCAAACCGAATCAAACATCAAGCGCCTCACATTCTCCTCGAGCGTCGCCCTGAGGCGGGCATGGGACTCCTGGACCAATCGATCAAGGTGGTCGACCTTGTCCTGGAGCTCGTCGATCACCCGATCCCGATCAACGATCTTCTGCCGCAAGAGCCCGGCCTCCGCCCCAAGACGGGAGACACGTGAGGAGATCGCCATGGAGGTGATCCGCCTCGCGAGGTCGAGCTGGTCATAGGGGTCAACGGGAATCACCGCGAGGATCTCGTCCGGGAGGTCGAAGTCCCCGCCATCGGACGCCATCGCCGTGGGAGGAGACCAAACTAGACCCTAGAGATCGATCAGAAGAATGCTAGGGTTTGGGTTTGGAGGAGTAGGAGGAGGAGGAGGACGGAGGCCGAGACAGGAGTCGTCTTCGATCCCGGTGGCGATCGCGAAGAGACGTGGGAGGTGTGGTTTAGCAACCATTGGGTAAGAATAGCAGGTCTTCGTGCTGTCCTACCCGTCGAATCTACCTGTCTTGTTAAAGGATGAAACATGGGTCCCACATTATCTACCTGACACTGTCGCTTTCCCCGATCAAATTAACCACTTCCATATATGATTAATTTTGACTTAGAAATTTTAGAAAAATACAAATTTTCAATATTCTAAATATCATAATAAGCAGAAAAAATTTGGTACAAAAGCCTACTAGAATTCCAACTCACATCTGATGAATATATATGTGTGTGTGTGTGTATATATATATATATATATATATATATATACACAATATATATATATATATATATATATATATATATATATATATATATATATATATATATATATATATATATATATATATATATATATATATATATA